CCCTGCACCCGCCAAGTTTCGGACTCGCTCCTGCTAGCTACCGACTCCCGCTCATGCACGGCTCGGCCTCACCGTGGCCGGCACTCGCCCCTAGCGCTCCTCATGCCGTCCATACTCCTTCATCCTCACGTAAAGCGGAAGAAGTGACCGACGCACATTTTTTTCTAGGCACCTGAAGTTTAGCAAACTAGCTGAAATTTACTATTGGAGCAACAAAAATATCATTCAAATTTCCAGCTTCCAAACGTGCTACTAAATTTTGCACCGGATAGAAATAAAGTACAATCGCGAGTAGTGGTCGGAGCATCCCCGGAGAAGCTTCAGTTTTAGCTAAACTTTGAAATGCGATATAAACTTTCAGTTCTTTTCATGCCAAAAAAATCATGTCAGATCTATGCCAAGATGGTTGTGTGCATCGCTCGATGCAGAGGCAAGGGGTTATCCTCCTTTTTGAAAATAATAATAATTATCTTTATTCCAAAACTAGATACTAGAGCAACACATGATGCTTAGGCCAAGATTTTGTGTAAATGCTGGTATAACATTGGACTCTCCTTATTCGAAAAAGAGGTAATATCGCGGGAAGTCATTGAACTTGCACCGCACGTTCAGTTTGGTGCTAGAACTGTGAAAATACGGTTTTCTGGGCACATAACTTAACTCAAGCGTGCAGATACGGTCACACTACGCATATGCGGGCGTATACATGTGTATGGCCCCATTTGTCAGTGACTGATGGCGCTGGGCTTGATGTATTTTTACACAGAACGCTCTGAAAATAATTATTTTCGAAACAATCAACCACAGCGACGTATTTTTTTGCACAAAACACCCTCAAATTATTTTTTAAAGAAAAATAGGACCATGATACTGTACATATATGTATTTCGTCTAATATGGATAATCAACATATATGTATTTCATGGGGACTCATGTGGAGCTTAATTGAGTTGCAGGTACTACGGCCCATTTTGCGCGCACTATTTTTTAAAAGATAATTTGTAAGTAATAAAGGTACGTTCACATATTTGTGTGTTAAAAAATATTATATATACAAATAATGATTAGTAGATAAAAACATTTAAATATACACTTGCGGCTTATATTTAGTTAATATGGACACTGATAATATTTATTAGATAAACATTTTTTAAAAATTCAAAAGAATACACTTGAGGCTTATATTTAAATTATAAAATATGATGAACACAAATATTTACTAAATATTTATGACTATTCACTTGTGTAAATTTTTTATTCATGACTTATATTCAACAAAGTTATATAACTTACATATTAGCCACGACTGAATATTTGTTTAACAGATTAAATTTTAAATTATTAATATTTTTAATTATACAAACATTGAACTATACAAAATGTGCGTATATATAATTTTTTTAAATGTTCGTATAATTGAAATAATATTTTTGAAAACCAAATATGCAATACACACATTTATATAGTACACATGTTTATATATATTTTTAAATACCTCAGATAAAATGGGCCGCAGTCTCCGTAGCCTATTTAAACTTCACATGCATCCTCGTTTAATATATATAAGTTCCTGATCCATTTTAGACATCCAGATCTGACCGGTTGTAGTGTCTAGATTGTATTGATTTAAGCAGTTGGTTGTAGGTTCAAGTCCTAGTAGATTCTTTTTGGCGTTAATTTTTTGCATTTGCATTCTCGGGTTAAAAAATAGTTGCTCGTCTGTTCGAGTCCTGGCATGCCATTTTTGTTGTTAATGTTCACATATATGTGCAGTATTGTGGTCATGTTTTCTGTAAATAAAAGAAGTTTTAATGTTCGCATATATGTGCAGTATTGTGGTCCTGTTTTCTGTAAATAAAAGAAGTTTCAATGTTCGCATATATGTGCAGTATTGACTTATTGCGGGCCTGTCTTCTGTAAATAAAAAAAGTTAGGGTGTTTGCTGTAAAAATACATTGCTGTGGTTCACTTCTTCCACAAATAAAAAAAATCAGGGTGTTATGTGTAAAATACGTCGCGTTCGTCACTGACGAGTGGGGCCATACACATTGATATGTCTGTATACGCGTACTGTGACCGTATTTGCACGTTTGAGTGACCACAAAACCGTATTTTTAAAGTTTTAGCATCAAACTGAACATGCAACGCAAGTTCTATGACAACCGGTGATATTACCTCTTCGAAAAAAAACAACAACAATGAACTCTCCTTGTTGAGGTAATCATAAAAATCGATCACTATGGTTGCATAGATCACAGTGCACGATCTCTCCGAGATTTTTTACATCAAACGGCATTAGAGCCATGGACAATCTTCTTCCACCACGCGTGATCAGCTCCAATATGCCACGACGCGATCTCCTCTTCTCCAAGAACTGATTTTCTCCCGAAATTTAGGTGCATCTACTGCCGCCATTAATGTTGCTGATGACCAGGAAGGGAGCCGGTGCCGGCGGAGAGGCTCCTCTCGAGGTAGAACGCCCGCAGCCTGGCTGTCCGACTGGCCCCGCCGCTGGCGGAGTGGGACAGCGCGGGGAGCCCCCACTGCGAGGAGAACACGACGGCAGAGCACTCCGCCGCGCACGCGATCCGCCGCACCAGCTCCGCCAGCAGGGCCACCGCCCACCGAGCCGGCAGCAGGGCGAGCACCAGCCGCATCAGCCTCACCCTCCTGCCGCCGCCCGGACGCGGCGCCACCTTCTTCCCCGCCCTCCTCCGCAGCCGCAGCGGCCGCCTCGCCCTGGTCCACCTGGTAGCCGAAGCCGCCGCCAGCCTCTCGTCGCCGTCCCCGTCGCCTTGCTCGGCGCGCAGCCTCTGGTACCGCCACCTCGGCAGCACGTCGAGACCCATGTGGTTATGCGGTGTGAGCTAGCTACGGTACGTGGCAGCGAAGCAGGCGACGGCGAGTCAACCGACGACTGAGGCGAGGGAGCGAGCGAGCTCTGAGCTGTAGGAAGCATGGGGAGCAGCCGAGCCTGCGGGCGCACGTATATATAAGCGTGGATAAAATTCCTTCCATTATTGGGAATACGTTGGCACATGAGGAAGAATCGTGGCGCCATGCAAGTCCGGGTCGGGAAGACGCGGGAGCATAAGAAAATGGCGAGGAAAAGACACCAACGAACGACGGAGCGGCGCCTACGGCCGCCCGATCGGTATTCCTTTTGACACATGCTTTGCGCCACCAGCGCTATACTCCATAGACCATACTAGTACTCTGCATCCTCTCCAGCTCGATCGCCATTTATTTCTGGACGCTGATGCATGCATGCGTACGCGATCTTCGGCCGTTATCACTTTGTCATCGCTAAATAGAGCCAACTCAGCTACCAACTCCAAATCTCCAATGATGAACTGCATTGGGACCAGATCAATGACATCGTTGAATACAAACTAATTAGCGATATAATGCACCGAGTGCGATCTCGCAAGGATTGATATGATTCCAGCCCTGCCCTGTATATATAGTTGTATATATACTCCCGTTTCCGTAAAAGTTGTGGCGCATGCGGCGCCAATGGTATGCAAATACAAAAGCGCGTTCTCTTCTTCTTTTCTACTAAATTCTAATGATGATTGATGCGATCATTGCATGGGCACTTCAAAATTTGGTTGCACATAAATCACTGGACTGATTATTAAGGTGAAAGTGCAGGCCGTTTTATCGTTCAAGTGGGGCATGTGCCGTCATTAG